ATTAAAATTATAGATTGATCATTTCTTTGTCAGTGGGCAAACGTACAAAATCAGCAGGGGATCAAATACTTTTTTTCCCCTCACTGTACAACAATACATTATCGAGTGTGCAATGAATACAGCAAACCCGAGTTGTGTTCCCGAGCACACCTAAAAATTAGTAGCGAGTAATTTCTGACCGGGTCCTGGGCCACCAGCTGGCATTTAGCAGTGTGGTGAAGTATGGCCATATAATTCTCACGACCGATGGGGGGGGAGCTGTTCACTCAGCAGTGGATTTGCAGAGAACTGTCAAATATGTAATTGTATTAATACACACATGATGATATAGTGTGGATATGCAATGCAATCTTTTCGCTCTTGTAGGAAAAATAACATTTTCCCATTTTGAATATATTTAGCAACGTGTATTTTGTTTCCTCATTTGATTTTGTTACTTATGTTTAAACAAATCTACGCACTTACTAAAATTACGTCAGCGTGGCTTTCAAAGGAAAGGAGTAATGTATTTGCATGTAATTAAATAGAAAAAGTTATTTTGTTTAAAAAAAAAGTTGTTCTTTTCACAATATTCTTGTTTTTCAATTAAGCTGAGAGTAATGAAGTTGTGAATGTAACATTTTTAAGATTTACAAATACCATGTCTGGAATGAAAATTCAAGTAGCTTCACGTTTCCTCTTCTAAAAAGGCCAAACGAGCTGACGTTTCATGTTCGCCATTATTTCTGGAATAGACTTTACATGTTTGCCTGTTTTTGTTGCCTGCCTGGTTTTTTATGAAAATTCAAACAAGTTACTGGCACCTCTTAACCTTGACTTGTGTTTATTAAACTCCACAAAACAGCTTTCCGCACCGGACGCACTGCACATTTTCCTTGTAATGGGGGAAAAAAATTTACTTGTTGAAAAAATTCAGTCATTATCAACAGAAGCATGGCGGCGAGCCTTCCATTTGTTCTGAAGCTGTGTTCAACTTACAAACTTGGGGAGGAGAGTTCACGCACACGAAAATATTGGTTTGAGTTGGGTGTCGTGCAGATGCGTGAGATTGATGTAGCGGATAGCAGTGGGGCCAGGGGGGTGAAGGGGGGGGGCGGAACCGGTGGTCCGAACGCAATGGGGCCGGGACTCGATGCGATCATCCCAGGCCAGCCATAATCCCAGACGACGTGCCATTTTTCCTGGGCCTGACTTGGGGCCACGATTTCCGTTAGCCGAGCGACGTGTGACACCAGGCCCCCCGCAGGCCTGGAGATGGGAATCCGTGGTGGGGCGGGCATTGGTGTGGCGGTGGGGGCGACGCGATCGGGGTGGCTGGACGGTGGTTGGGTGGACAAACAGTGCTAGGGCGACGTGGACATGACATGACAAGTCGCGCCCGGGGCCGTGCGAGTCTTCGGCCGTGATGGAAGGACGCAAGGGATGTCAATCCTGACGGAAAGCTGTTTCCCATCATGTGGCTTTAACTGTTTCCCCGTTGCGAGCTTCTCGTTCTCTGTCATGAACGTCTGCGCTGAACGTGGTGACATCTCAGGACACCTGTTACTAAGCCAAGCAGGCCGTCGCATTTCGCCTTTGAAACAGATACTGACGACTGTCGCCTACGTGTTCTCAGCACATCTTCGTACCCAAACGCATGTTGTTTAGTTTAATCATTGCCACAAGCATCAATATGTAGGCACTGCTGGCTGCCTGGCGGGGTACAGTTGTGTGAGATATCCCAACTGGAAAAGTGTTAAGCCTGACACGTGCCTTGGCCCTGCAATAGCAGAGACCAGACAGATTCTGCTGCAGCCTTGCTGCATGACTGCCTCCGAAATGAACACATCCTGTATTTGTCGCGTTTGTGCAGCTGCGGGGTAGGCCAGTTGTTCATAGTTCACGTAAAAGTTACTTCTCTGTGGAACATAATTTGCCGTACGTGTGTAGCTAATACAAGGTTTGTCCAGAATGAGCAGTTTGATCACAAAGTATTGATTTTGAATTATTTGTCTGTCAGTTTTGTATTCCCACATTTATACTATCACTTTAGATTGGTCCTGTTTTCTTCCCGGAATTGTGAGCACTTGATAACAACTCTTGTGCACTTAAAATATTAAGTTGATTTTTTTGCACGAAAAATTATTATAATCCATCAGTAGGATGATGCTTTGAACACAACCTGAATTTCCAAACAAACCTAAAATAATGAAATCAATCCTGTTCCTAGCATGTAGTTGTCATTCAAGGTGAAATATTTTACCCAGGTGCTGTAGTGGTGCTGGAGTGTGGGCATCGGAGTCAAAATCTGAAAATTATATGTTAGTTCAAGCAGAGAAACTTAACATGTGCACTCAAATTACATGAAGACTGCACCTGTGATACACAAGACAATACACTGCACCATGTGCCCGGTCGCAAATTTTTTGTTTTAACGTAATTTCTGCCGTGGTGATTAGTGTCCGTTAAATATTGTCGGCCTTTCAAAGCGAAGCGCATCGATAATTTGTAACGGGCGACAGAAAAGGTGTGGACATTGAAACGTAACGAGGCCGTAAACGCCGATTTAGCCCGCAGAAAAAGGGACTGGCTCTCATTGTGGATGGGCGCTGGTGCCGGGTGTGGAAACATGCGGGACACTAGGCCTTTGAATTCCTTCTCGTCACTTTTAACAAGTGTAGCTTTCCGCATCTGAGCTACTTCCAAGCTCTCGCTTAATGTGCTGCAGGTTTTTCAAGCTCACCGCTGCTAATTTTAGCAATTTTTCCCCCTTGTAGTTGAACATGTGTCGTGGTGTGGAAAGTGATGCCATGGGTGTGGGGGAGTAAAGGTTGCGGCGAATCGGTGCCGAGTTGACTGAGATAGAGCCGCTTAAAACGCCTTTAAAAAAATGCAATTTGTACTCTTTCACCATTTTTTACATTGCAAAACCAGGTGTGAGATGATAAAATTGTGCAATAATTCTTCAATTGTTTGCATTGGCACAGTTTCCAAGACTTTTATCTGTCCCAGTTAGTACCTCTCCCCCCCCCCCCCCCCCTGTTAAAATAATATGGGGAAAAATCATTTTTTTGCCCATTAAATGTTCATCGTAAAACATTCATTGAACTTTGATGGACTGCTTAAGATTACTACTGACTTTGATGTTTTCATTCACACTCAAAAGAGTGACTGGAGAATGGAAGCTGAACATAGCAACACATGCTATCTGAAAATGCACCTTTTTAAGGTACTGTAATCGTCGAAGAAATAATAATGGCGATGATTTCTTTCTGGTTGAGTGCCCTTTACGGCGAGGCATCTCTGAGCGCTTTACAAGCGATAAGCGACTTCTATCTCATCTCAAACAATAATTTACAACAATCGTTTATCAAATCCACCGCTGGATGAAATCCCCGTCAACCTAAGTCGGTCGTGGGGGTTGTTTGGTGATTTACCTCGCCAGGCTGTATTTAGATGATTTACCTTTTAAAGATTCTAGAAAGTCATTGTTTTATTGTGCAAAGATCGATACATCCGTTAAGAATTTGTGGGCTGTATACAGTTATTGAGATTTTACATTTTCCGTTATTTGCGACACGTTCGCACGTTTTGACTTGGTGGGGGGGAACGTGACGATTAAAACTGAAGAAAAATAGACGAATGATTAGCCACTTTGTGCGAGATCGGTGGGCCATTTAAGGGATGCATCACAACTGGCCAATTCCCTTTGAAGCACTACCTGCTGTGAGCTGTTTGCAGCTTGCGTGTTGTGTGTGCGTGTGGCCTTGTGGTGTTTAGTGCCCATGAGATGCGGCTGCGGTTTGGTTCATAAGCTCCAAGAGAACTCCCTCCCACCTCCCCCAAATAAACTCAAGCCAAGCCTCGCTTGGCACATATCGAGTTTTTCAGGCGCTTCAAAGTCGTATCAAACGCTGTTTGTTCCTGCCTTTGATATATACCCCCCCCTCGTGTTTTCAAACTGCAGGGGAAGTGTGAGGGGCTCTATTTTTCAGTACGTTAATTGCTAAGTTTCACACGTGTGCAGTACAATTTTTGTTTTTTTCTTGCACAGACAATTAAATGTGGTTATAAAGTGAGCCTTCGTGGGGTCCGCGTGTGAGCACCTGCGTTTATTGGCACATGTGTAGTGGGTTCCGGAGACACTTCGGATAGGTAACTTCTTTATTACAATACAGCACTCCAACAGTCCTTACACACTGGTTCAGCCTAGGGAGACAGTCTACTCCGAGCGTGCCGTGACACTGGCAACGCTCTCGGGTCCTCCGCTATAATTACCCTAGGGGAGGCTACTCTGACCCGACCCAGACAAGGTGCGGGTCTAGACCACTGGCTTCCTCGGACCTCGCCCTCAAAAGGGCGCTGGGCTGGGAGTCCCAGAGTCCCACCACCAGCCCAGAGCCCCACCGCTGGCCCAGAGTCCCACCACTGGCTTCCTCGGACCTCGCCCTCAAAAGGGCGCGGGGCTGGGAGTCCCAGAGTCCCACCACCAGCCCAGAGCCCCACCGCTGGCCCAGAGTCCCACCACTGGCTTCCTCGGACCTCGCCCTCAAAAGGGCGCGGGGCCGGGAGTCCCAGAGTCCCACCACCGGCCCGCACAGCGTCCTGGCCCTGACCAGGACAGCGGGGCGAGGGGTTCCAGGGTCCTATCGGTCTTCAATTGGTCCAAGATCAGCTGGGGAGGTCCCCTTTTATGCCCCTTGCCTGTTGAGGGGTGGGGCTGCGAGGGATCCTAGAACCCCCGCAGCCCCCCCCCCCCCCCGTTGTGGGCGCCAAGGGGCTTAGCTGTCTGGGGATCCTGAGCCCCCAGCAGCCCCTCCCCTCTTGGGCTGGTGCTGCAGCCCCTCCCCTGACGGTACGAGGTACCGTTCCATCTATGACGCTACACATGTCTCTGCACGGAAAACATGAAAGGAAAAATTGTTTTAAGAAAAAAATGTCGTAAACCTTTTAATGATTGTATTTAGGGAGTGGCATAAACAATGTTGATATTGTGTCTGACCATCGGCCTTAACTTGCAGGGCTTGTCTAGGAACAAGGGAAGACTCCGAAGAGGCCCCATTTCCCGACACGGCCTATCTTGGCTTCATGTTCTCGGTGCTCATAGGTAATTGCAACATCATTATCAATACACGCCACACTAATTAACGCCTTAGAACTTTTAATTGGTCCGTTCCCAAGCTGCTTGATGAAGTCTTTTTTATCATGTGGCTGGCTGGTAAATAAAGTTGAGTGTATGTTGATGAAGGGCTGTCAAATGCAATGTGTTACACAGGTATAATAAATTGTATGCAGTGTCGGAATCCAAAATCACCTCTGTTTTGAGATGTATTGTTTACTGCACCGTCCTCTTTGTTAACGGTCGTGTTTATCTGCTGTCAAATGTTAGGTGTCACTGCGAAGGAGCTGTCTGGCCTCAAACAGATGGATTTGTCACACGTGACCAAGAGCCACTGCACCAAGGTGGACCTCTTGGAGACGAGCTGCGATAGATTTCTTCGCCATGCAGCCATTAATGAGGTAAAAAATATGACTTGGATGTTTGAACTTTTAGGGACGATATCCCTCTTTGGATGAATGGTTGTTTTCATGATTGTAGCTCGTCGCTAGTTATAAAAAGGAAGAAGCAGGCTTATGGAATTGGAGTGTTTGACATTTTATTGTTCATTTGCTGGAAGGACAATATACAATTTCCAACACGGGCTAACGAAAAAAACAAACATTTTTGGCACTTGATTATAACTCGCGGGTAGTGGCACGCTTCAAAAACCTGTGCGCTTCTCGCCCAGATGAAGTGACAAACCAGAGGTGACAGGGAACATCTTTTTTTGTCGGTCCATATCTCGCCCTCGGTCCGGGCATGGAGAGCGCACGCCTCTTTACAGCTGCGCTGCCTTCGAGCGTGCTCATGCCGTCCCGCATTAAGAATGCCCAGCACCGTGCGCTCGCATTATTAAGCCGCAGAAAGGGCTTCCGCTGACCTTCCGGGTCTCTGATTAGGCTTAATATCTCCGATATGGGTGTTTCTCAATCTTGGGTTACTCAACAGTATCTTTTTTTTTTACATTTGTTGCATCTCGCTCCTCACAAAAAAAAAACAAGCACTGCTTTTTTTCTCATCACCATTGATGGTCCTGATGTAACGGTATTAATTCCACATTCCTATGGTTTGTGGCCAGTATCTTTATAAGTGAACCAGTGTTGACTTCCTGCAAAGTAGTAATCATTGTATTGATTCCTGGAGGGATGATGGATTAGATCTATGCCTGATTGCTATTTGACCTGACAACCTTCTAATTGTAAGTCAAGTGCTCTGCTACAGAACCACCTGGGTGGATGGCCCCTGGTTTTTATGTTTGCAAGACCACAGAAGCCATCTGGGTGGGTTATAAAAAGCAAATAAGCTGGAGAACTAATTGAGGGTACTGCAGGATTGATTCATGCCGGGTATGAGGCAAATTTGTTCACGTTTGAAACATTGTCGCGTATTTAATGCTGGGGAATATAAAATAAATAAAGCAGCGGAAGTGCAGGCAGCTGTAATCGGTATGCCTGCACGTTCATGTTGGAGAAGACATGATGAGAGGAGAGGTGCTTCATCCATTTCTATCATCTCCTTTCGCGGCGAACAGTCGTATTGCGTTTTGAGTTTGCTGGGAAGACAAAGACACGTATCAGGAGATGACAGTTTGGATACAGATTTTGTCTTTTAAGTCTGATCCTCAAAAGCCGCGCGAAGTCAGCACATGGCAAAAGTTTATTTTGAGCCTCGTGGTAGAGGTGTGTGTGTGTGTGTGCGTGTGCGTGGAACACGTCTAAAAGGAGTTGTAGTTGGGGGGGCGGGGGTGCACAGATGTGTTTTTTTTGGCGGCGCAGCGCGTCCTTCCCCGCCTCTCATCGGCACTAACGTTGACCTCCGAGGACCCCTCCCCTCCCACTCTTTGTGTGCGTGGGAGTCGGCACCTTGAGCCGCGTCCAAAAATCTGTTTAGGTTCCGACCAAAATATACATTTACACAGGACGACGACGGGGGCACTGTGCCAACTCCAGATGAGGCACCCGCTTAAAAGGGAGTGTAACTGTGTAACGAAAGCACATTAAGACACTGCGGGTCACAGTAACAAAATGCTAGTGCAATCATTCACCATTCTTGTCAATGGACGCCTTTCTCAGTGTTTAAAATAAATATTTATGTCGATGATATTCAATGAAGACTTGCACGAGTAATTATTTCCGGGTACCAACTGACCACAGGGTTACAAGGGGGTCACGTGGGGGAAAAAAAGTACAGACTTGAATGGCTGCCATACCTCAAGTGGCTGCATCCATCCAACAGAGCGGCCAAAAAATCTGGGATGAATCACCGGCGCAATTTGGTTATGCAACTGTTACATTAACTAGATTAAATTTTCTTGAGTGCATTGATTTGTACGCATTTTTATTACCCACGAGTGCAATTACGTGTGCCGTTGGTAGCGTAATGTGCAAGACCTTGCGAGTTTCTTTCGCATGCTCTCAATGTGTTGTCACTTGCTCTTGAGCAAGTTTTTACCTTTTGTCTTCTCAGCAGAGTCGAGCTTTGTTAAATACTCCTGGGTCGCCAATGGGGGCCCTGCTCGGCACAACTCCGTATTGTATACAAACTCATTATGCTCTAATGATGAGACCCAGAAGGTCGAAACCGGTTCGGAGTTTTCTTGTTTAAAAATTGCTGTTGGGTAATATTGGTCTGGAAAACCAGTATGCCAATGGACTTAAAACATGGTTTTACACACAACGCTCCGCAACAATGCAAAATGGATGTTTGTAAACGAATTGTAGTCGTAACGTGTAGGATATGCATCAACCAGTGCCTGCCTCACAATTTACCATGAGGGGGTGCACTGCCTTCACGTCCCTCACCTGGTAAGCATTGTTCATTGTAACCCCAAGCCATGGACATCTCTGGATCTCACACGTGTTAGTTATCACAAAAGTGGAAGTAATTACTGCTTTCCTCGTCCTACGTATTGCAGCTCTATATTTCCGCAGGAGAAATGGCCAACTTATTTTTTGGCATTGGGGCCTACATGTGAACACATTTTAGAACCTGCGCACGCATGTACGGTACACTGTCACATATCCGATCGTCACATATTGGGCCCTGATCAATTAACCGAACGCACCCAGTGCTGTATTCATGCAAGGTGTCACTTTCCATCGATATTCACAAAATCCTACCGTTTCATGTACAGCAATCCAGTTCTTGTCAACCTTTCTGGACTCGCACACCATTGTCAATCTTCAAAACAATCTCACAGACCACCTCTCTTTCTGTGCCATCTCCTTTCTCGGTGACCACGGCCTTACATTTAGCTCTGTCCATGATATTGCTCAAGAGCCTTGCATTAGATATTCCGATTTGCACCTAGTTGTTCAAATTGCTTGCGTAACTTCCCCAGCTGCTTGTACCTATAATTTTACCCAGTAAAAACATGTTTTAGTCTCTTGTTTTCTCATTCCACTTCTAAGAAATCTAACTTGCCTTATAACTATTTATATTCATTTTCTTTTTGTACCTACCATCTACAGTACCTGCTATCCGTGGACCACCATGCATCAGTAACATATAAAATGTAAATCTACTCTAAATTGTCGTTGCTGCAACATAGGCCAAATAAATTTGTTTCATGCGCAACAGCTCGGCGGATCAGTTCCCGCGGCCTTGCGGACACCGGCGGTGTCCGCGAGATTACAAAGACATCACTGCAGTGATGTCTTCGTGCACATAGCTTGGCACAAGCGGCCGTGGTGACGTCACCGCCACTTAGTTGTGAATGGCGGTTGTTGTTGGTAGCAGCAGCAGCAGCAATGTGAGCAAGCAACTCGAGTGCTGCACCGTTACATTTTCCCAAGTGAAGCGTACGCAAGTGCCCGGGCATGAAACGCGGTCAGCTTCGGTGTCGTGGCGGCGGCGGCGGCAACTTGACGAGAGCGGCGAGCGTGGGGGAGCCGTGACGAGGCAGCACACGTGCCGGAGTGCGGAGTCGCATGGCAGAGAAACGGGCGAGGGAGGGAGGGCCCCGCTCCTCGCGAGGCAGCGCCACTGCCGTTCCTGCTCCTGCTGCTGCTGCTGCGTCGAGTTGAACTCGAGCTGACGAGTGCAAGCCGTAGAGGAGGAGTGAATGTGCTTGAGCAGTTCACCATCTGTCTGACCCAGTCAAATATACAATTTAAAATAGAGTTTATACGTGTGCTTTTTCAGTTGCATACATTTTCTGCCACATTAGTCCATTCACGGCTGTTGTTGACGTTTTATTGATTCGATATACGTGGTGCTCTTTTAATTTCAGTGCATTGGAGCTTTGTATTGTGATGTGTTTATAATTGAAATGTGATTACCGTTCAAAATAATTGCAATCTTTGTTCACCATCACAACACATTATGTTGTAATGGCTTGAACAGCATTGATCTGAAACGGGGTTGAAAAATACAATTACCTATTGCATAAAAATACCATAATGACCATAATGTCATTGTGACTATCTTCTGAAAATTGGTGTCGTGAGAAAGCAATGTGTGGTGATATTTATGGGCTAAATGCATGGGAAACCCATGACTGCACTTATCATGTGATGGTGAGCAGTGTTGATAGTGGTTTACACACTGCACCACAGGCCAGGCAGTTCAATTCCTTTCCAAGATCATATCTGTTGAATTTTATATTTAAACTTAGCCTGGGCCTCCCTTAGATAAATTCAACCTAATACAGACATGTGGTATTGTATGTGTGATCAGCCACTGAGGAGACCCAAGTCGCTCAGTTGGGGTGCTGGTGAAGCTATCCACCTATGTTCCATGCTGGTCTTAATATAGGTGCTTGTTCACAGCATTTGCCCCCTAAGGTCTTTTATGCTGAATGAGGGATCTTTGTGCGTGTGTGTATGCAATATTTTGATATGTGCATGGGTACCAGTGGCATATAAAATTGCACACTTCGCTAAGAACCTGGCAGTTTTGAGTTCGCTCGATTCCCGGGCATGGCTAACGTCAGTGGTGAGTGATATCTGAACTGTACCTGGACCTGGACCCTCCCCTAGGTTGAGGAGTGCCTTGTAGAGAGTGTAAATACACTGGGGGAGACAAAGGCAGCCAGGTGTGATTCTCTCCACCCCCTCGTGGTGTGCTGTGCCAACCGTAATAGATGCTCGCGTGCTCCCAACATTCTGTCAAAAGCTCGACTGCACATGGGAAAATTAACTTCAAATCATTTAATTGGGAAAAACCATATCGCAACATCACCCCCTACTGGCACACTACCTCTTTGCAACCCCAGTGCCATGCACACCTCGTGACACGTAGCGACATTCATCACTGAGGTTCCCGTGGCTGGATTTCCACAGGGCAATGGAATGTTTGAGATGAGATATAAGGTGCTTAGAGATGTAGAGACATTTATTTAAGCTCCCTGTAATTGCATGTGTGTAGTTATGCATGGCATGTGCGTGTGTGTTCATCGCTGTGGTCCGGTGGCACAGTCGTTAGCCCACTGGCCTCTGAACGCGGCGACCCGGGTTCAATTCCTGCTCACAGCCATCATCAGTTACGCACGTCTGAACTGGCCCTGGGCCTCCCCTAGGTCGATTCAGCCTCAAATGAGTATCTGATGCATTATCCAAATTTTAACCGTCGGCACTGGAGAGACACAAGTGGCCGAGAGTGGTGCCGGCCACTCACCCCCTCGTGTGACGTGCCAACCTTAATTAGTGCTCGCTAACTGTTTGCGGCTATACGGGGATCTTTGTCTTTGTCATCGCTGTCGGGTGCAGGTGGTGTGCTGGTGTTTGGGATCGGTGCCGTCTCGCCCGCAGCTCCTCGAGGTTCTTGGCCACGGCTTTGAGAGCCACTTGGTGAGCAGGCGACAGGATGTCCACTCCAGCTGTACAGCTCCCGAACTCTAGACCATATGGGCCCTGATCTCCGTTGCGTCTTTTCCAAAAGAAGCTTCATTCTCACGTTCGAAGGACGATGTTTGGATTCTAGTAAGGATCAATAAAGCACATAAAAGAGGTTGGAGCGGTGGTGTACAGTGGCTAGTGTGCTGCCTTTATGAGCCCGGTGACCTGACTTCAATTCCCAGTCACGGCGAGCATCAGTGCCAAGTGATATCACAAGCAATGCTGCTCCCTTTCACTGACGTGCACTAATCAGTGTGGTGAAGTATTGTAAAAATACCGTATGGCCGGCATAGCATGGTGAGGCCTTTACCCATTGGTGAATTGATAAAGCCTGCAATTTTTTTAAATGTTACATTTATAACGATTGCACTGTTATATTAAAAATTGAGACATTCTTAAACTGTGCGCATTGTAAACCATTCGCGCGATTCGATGCATAAAAAAAGTAGATTTTTTTTTTTACTTTACTGACGAATCAAATGCGTCCGTTGCAAAGCCTCGCGCATCATTTGAATTTCCGCGGTGCTGCTTTTGCTGCGGGGCGCAGACGCCATTCCTTCTCTGCTCTTTCCCGTCGATCCCAGACCGGCGTTCCCGTGCTGCCGGACACGTGCGCGTTGGGGCTCCTGAGTGGCGTGACGCGGCTCTGGGACCCGGCGTGTGACCCCGAGCTGCTGCCGCTCGCGCTCGTCGCAGCGTGCACCCGCGCCCTCTTGCAGCGTGCCCTCGCGAGCCCTTCGTCCGGCACCCCCGCGCAGGGTGAGCAGCGCCGAAGGTGAGCTTTCACTCCGTCAGTTGAACTTTGCGGCCCTGCGATGAAACGGGACCGGGAGGGCGGCCATTGAACGGCAGTCGGCAGGCGATGAGTTGCCATGGTTTTCGGAGGAAGTTGCCACGTCCCTGTTGCTGCACAGTAAATCCTCTGGAGGGGGACTTCGTGCCAACCGCTACATTACTTTGCAATCAATATTTTTTTTCTCAATGGGCTCTGCACCTCATTCTAAATAAGTCATTGATTGATTAATTGGATCTGACTCCATTATATTTTTAACCACTGACACGTTAACAATGTACAGCTTTTGAAGGCAAAAGCATGCAAACATTAAACAACATACGTAAGGGGGCAGTTTGTTGGTAAAGGAAGCAATGATAAATGTGCAGCTCTGTAACTGCTTGCTCATGCCACTGCTGGGGGATGGGCCTCCCTCGAGGGGGTATATGTGGCCTTCCATTACACACTGGCCAGACATCTCGGATAAGATGGGAGCTACCCACACTTTCCCCCACCACGCGCAACCTGCCGATGGACTCGGCGTGGCATGTATGCGTTCATACTGCAAGGTGGCGGGTGAGGGGATGAGGATTTAATGAACGTGTAATTGTACGTTAAACCATGATTAATTGCTTTCAGAGTGGGAACGGGAATCCGTGTTTTAAAGTTTGTTGAGCTCAAGCCAAGGAGCACCTTCACCCGACGGGTCAAGCCCAGTGCACCGTTGAACCTGCCGCGTATTAAACACAGCCCTGTTGAGCACATTGTGCAATTACCATTCCATTTTTATTCCTGTATTAGAAATAATTTGCATTACTATTATTATTTACATTCAAGTAGCATCTCAATGTAGATGCACCTCAACAGATTAATGCATGCAGACCCCCGTAGTCTGTGTTAAATACTCAGTTGAGTGCGGAGTATAAAGTGCAGTATAATAACCATGTAATTTGTTGACCGTATTGTGCACTTAAAGTGGGTTGGATTGTGCGAATAGGGCCACTTGCTTATGTAAGCCAATTGGTTCATGATGTTGTTGACGTCCTCCCCCATGTGGGAAATTATTTGCCAGATTCCCCGTAAGAATAATTACATAAGCCCTTGAGGATGCATGCAGGGACAGTGAATCTGTTTTAAGACTTGTTTTTTCATCAATAGCAACGTGATGCACAGAATCAACAAATCAAACGACATTCAACTGTTTTTTTTTCCTGGTATAAAATGGTTTTGGAGCGAAAGGTTACAATTTCTATGGAGAATATGTGCCCTGATGATGGCATCAGCTGTGGCCATAGTATCAGAATAATCGCACAAAGGTAAAATTGTTTCTGAGAGACGTCTTTTACACCATTGTGCGTTTACGCTTTATCATCGTGAAGCGGTGAAAGAGATTGCATTACGCATATCATCCGACTAGCGATGGAAATTCAAAACATGGTATCGGGAATCATTGATCCCAAGGGCTTAGTATCTTTGACATGGCTTTGTATGTATGTCTGTTCAAGTACAATGGGTAGCTGCTTTTTTGAGCAATTTTTAGAAATGTGGTTGCTTGCAGTGAGCTGAGAAGGAATAAAATACAAGGGTTCAGTCAAAAACTTCAAGGAGTGGTGGATAGATGGAGTACGTGTGCAGTAGGTCAGGTGGTCAGGATGTATTGGGGTTGTATATTTTCAATTGTGTGCAGTAGACCATTTTCCAATTTGAAAGTGTGCCACTCAATGGGATACTTGTGTGCAGTGATTCAAAGACAACAGTATCCATGATTCATAAACATGGACCCTTTGCACTCTTGATAGTGTTAGCGGATATGGGGAAAGCAATGACAGGTGAAGTACGGTGTAATTGAAGTGTTTACATCGCGGAAGATTATACGGAAATATGCATGCAGCATTGCACATGTTACCATGATGATTACAGCGCTGCATTTTTGCCGCAGGTGTAGATTGTCCGGAAGCTTTCCGCAGCCGAATGCAACTTATAGCCGATTTTCAGATGGGGATGCACATTTTTCCTAATGCCGTGTTTCTTGCGGGAAATATAAAACTGGGCAGACAAGCACACAAGTGCTGTGTTGTGGCTTTGCCACGGGGCGTCCGGTCATGTTTAGACTACAGATTTGTGTTTTTTCAATAACGCAGGCCCTGTTTCAAGCCTTGTAGCGCCGCGCCTGAGTCGCTGACAGCGTGCCCTCAATAAAGCAAGAGATTGCAAAGGCAGGGGGGAGGCAAGATTAGGCTGGGGTGACCTAGCCGTGCGGGGCTCTGTGAAGCGCAGCGAATCACATACACTGTGTGTAAATATATATATACAACACACACAGCACAGAGGGAGAAAGGGTATGATGCATGCAAAGGTGGGAAACTTGGTAGGTGACTGCACAAGAATTCCAAAACTACCCTTTTGTTATATACAGTATAGAGCTTTTGTGTATGGAAATCCAGCGGATGGTTCCTGGTTCATCATTGTAATGTGAGGGTCATTTTATAGCTATTAAATATTTCATGATCCACGTGTTTTTCTTCTTCTTATAGAATCGTATAATTCAAGGCATTACGAGAAACCAGCTGACTGCAGCAGTTTTTACCTGTTCCATTAAAGCATTGTCGTAAAAGCTCCTCTAAAAAAAAAAGCTGTCGTAATTGGAGACCAATCCGTGGATGGAAAAACTTTCTCTCCGTCGCTTTTTTCTAAATATAAATCGCAAGCAAGTTTAGTTGTTTTGTGCAAAGTAACAATTTATCCACCAAGCAATTCGATTAATTGGCGCGATCCCGGGGGGATCACAGTTATTTTCGGGAATCTATTTTTTTTGTCACATTTTTTGCGTGCCTTGTTTGCATGATTCAGTTAGCTTGGTTAGCCTAAATGTAACATTAGTGTACACATTTGTATGAATTGTACATAGTGGATATTTAGAGGTACGATTTGATGCACGTGTCGTGTATCGGTGTATATTTCTCTGTTTCAATGAATTGTTGCACTGTTACATGCCTAGTGTGGTGGGTACGACCGTATTGGACAAGTAAGTAGACGGAGCGATGCAATTAGATAGTGCTTGGGTGGATTATTATGTCACTGGATCACGAGATGCGGTGACAGCTTGGAGAGGCCTTCATCCAGCAGTGGATTGTTCGTGGCTGATAAGATGTAAAGGTGCAGGGTTGGGGGGGGGGGTATCGTCCATGATGGTGGGTAACCCAGTGGTTGGTGAGCTCGTATCCTCAACACAAGGGGACGACCACGATGCCATTTCATTCCTCCCTGTCCCAACGCCTCTGTTGTCTGAGGCTCAGATGGGACAGATCCTGGGGAAAGGTGACAAGGCAGGGCCGAGGACAAAAAAAACGCAACACACCCACAGGAAAATAAAGGGACGGTGTAGTCTCAGGGTTTGTCTGGATGGAGGGAGATTGATGCAAGATTGAACGGGAGATGAAGGGCAGAAGGTGGCAGCTAAGGCAAGAGAAGGGGGTTGCAGTCTGGCAGTAAGACAATATTATTCATATTCCTCTCTAAATTCAGATTGTTTCCTGACCTGCAGCTGGCCAAGGCCGTGTAATTATATTTCCCGTAAAGGTGAGATTTTGTTTGGACTGGGTAGTGGTGTTATTGAAAGCGCATTGAAGGGGGACTTTGAGGAACTGGTACCCAAACTTCCGTTCGACTTTGGAAGTTTGAGGTTTGGACAACATTGTGGGGACGCCATTACCAAAGCCCGGCAGAGACGGATGTCCTTGTTTGGTTTGTGTTAAAAAAAAAACATATAGTTTGTATAACCGGTTCAGAACTTGAATAATATTGCTTTATCGTCAGTATTAAAAGTAAGTAGGAAAACACACACATGACGGATTATGGAGGTTTGTTTGAAGGTAATTCGAATTATATGCCCTAAATTTAGCAGGTGCAATCAGTAGAACTATACACTTGAAAATTATTATTATGTGCTCGGGGTATAATGATGCATTGACGCGTTGATTCCAATCGATAATCGTGCTAACAATCTGAGAATCATGCGTGTCGATTCTTATGGGCTTGAATGTGGTGAGGGTGCCCTTGCAGCCACTATATCGGTGCTGAATTGTACCACAACATTAGCAAAGAACCAAAATCAACCCTCAGCTGCATAACCTGACGATTGACTGAGTTGCACGAGTAAGGCCGATTGTTGCAAGCCTGCCATGTACAGTACTATATAATCCCTTACGCATGTGGGATTTGTTTCTACTTTTTTTGGTAAAGAGCATTTGCTCTTTACTTGCATTTGTGACCCAGAGCTGCACCACCCCTCTGACCAGGCACAGCCCCGAGTATTGCCTTTGACCTTGAATCTATCGGCTCATCACTTCACCTGAATATTCAATGAGGAGAAATCACCCTGCTGGAAAGTGAATAAGACCCTGACTCTCAACTCTCACCCATTGTGGTCCATAATCTGTGCTGAGAGAGATGGAATCCTTGCGACCAGCACTTACTGCATGTGACCTGCCTACATATGCAGATGACACGGCCCTTTTGATTATTTGGCTGCTAAATGAAGGCAGCGCCACGCAGTACCGGTCGTGGGGGTTATTTGATGATAGTTCACCACAATGAGCAGTGTGGGTTGGTGAAGGTGGGGAGCATAGATGTGAGAGCATAGAAGAACAGCGGATGTTGCCTTACTGCCCCTCTGCTGACAATGTGGTCCCGCTGACACATACAACAGATGGAAATAAGTGTATCTTGGTGTTCTTTCCAACTTTTTACTCATCCGTTAATCCATCTGTGCAATCACATTGTGTGTGTGCACATGTGTGTGCAAACGGTGGGGAGCGGTAGTGTAGCGGTTAGCATGCTGCGCTACTAGCCCGGCGACCCAAGTTCGATTCCCGCTCATGGCCAACACCAGTAGCGAATATCTAAACCGGCCCTGGGCCTCTCCTATATCACCTCAAATGAGTACCTGGTACAGTGTGTAAACATCACCACAGGGGAGACAAAGGCGGTCAGGCGTGGTGTTGACCACTGACCCCCTCGTGTGCCGTGCCGGCCTTTATAGGTGTTCGCTAGCAGCACTTGCAGTAACAGTCTGTTAAAGGCTACACGGGAGATCTTTGTACAAACAGTCTGCATATGAATGTGCACATCAGAATGTACCTGCCCTTCACACCAAGACCGACGCTACACACACACACACACAAGGAGTACACAATATACGCCGACCCATACCCTTCCTTCGATGTAACAGACGTGCTGAAGCGTAACTTTATACGTTCACGCTCAACTACGGCTTGGTCACTGGGGTCCGCTTTGCTGCATGCTTGTAAAGAAATGAAATGGCTTCATTCGAATCACACAACCGGCGTGAGTTGCACGGCACCAAAGGGGGCGAGCGTCTCTCCCGAAGGCGAAGTGCGACGTCGACTTTTGAGAATTTGCATAGGAAAAGTGTGAGGGCCAAGAAATAATCCGTCCAGGGGCCATGGTCCAAGCCCCAAGTGCGTGCCAAAATTGGGTGACGCCGCTTGTGTCGCGTTCTGTTGTCCTGTCGTGTGTGCACACGCGTGCTCAACGCACTCGGCACCACATCTCTCACACCTTCTGCGCAGTTGCAAGATAATTAAAATTTAAAAAGGGCACTCGTGGTATTAGCTCGCGTGGCTAAAGGCAGATGATTTTTGTTGTTTTTTTGAGAGGCAAGCCTCGGCAGGCCTTTTTTTTAAACCCAAGCAGGGGGCTAAAACAGACGAGGTGGTCGCGCTGCATGGTTAAGTGCGTCCTGAGGTGGCGCAAAACCTCGACGGCATTGCTCGCAGAGTCGTGACGCAAGTTGGTTTTCAACGGGACGTCCTCTCTATTTTCTCTTAAGGTCGGTGTCCTGGGAAATTTTGAAAGTCTTCTTGGGACATTCAAGTTAAAGATGATTTTGTTTAACCAGGTAGGAAAGAACTCAAGAGATCAGCATAGTCTTATTTTGCGTGAGTGACCTGGGAGGCATTAGTCTGCCCAGCAGGGGTGATAATTTACTGTGTGGTTTGTGTGTATCATTTTGGGGGAATTTTCGAATTTGGACAAATTTGGACACTGAAAAAACAATGGTCTCCTCTTGCGAATGACATCGGAGGATCTTCTAATGTCCACTTTGCAGGAGACAGTGCGTATTATCATAGTGAATTACACCCACAATAACATTAAAAGTCACGTTTTTTGTCGGTTGCAAAACAATACACCGCTCGACAATGCAATTGTTGGCCGATTGTGTCCTGCTGTTGCCCCCGACGTTGCCCGAGCTTGATGATCCATTTCCCTTGAGCAGCTGTGGTTGACTCCCCCGTTCCTTGCAGGCAGTGTGTGCTCGAGGCTTGCGAGTCCAGCCTGGCCACCCTCCCCGGCACCTGCCCCGCCGTGCTGAGCTCCCTGCTCGAGGAGCTCGCGTCGGGAGCTCCGAGCGCCGGCGACAGAGTGCCGCCGGCACCCCAGAGGGAGCACGCGCGGGCGCTCGCGCCGATGCTGCAGTGGCTGATGCAGGAGCAGCACTTGAGGCCTGTGGTGGCGCAGAGTGCACAGCTGCTGGGCCGGCTGGTGCAGACCGTGCTGGTACGTAAACTCCGTTCATTTATTGTGCCACCTGTCCTGGTTTTCTCAGGATATTCTTTTTGTCGGCGTAGCTGTCATGGGAAAGCTTTAAGTCATCCCGGGGGCATTAAAGTTCCCTGTTTTGTCAGTTGTGTAATAAAACACCATTCCAGGTGACATATGAACACATACTGTAGTTTGCCCCTCTTCTGGTGGTGTGAGATATTTTCCTTTACATGTGACACATTTTTTTTTCTGATGGAGGTGGAAACCCAAATCGTGCACGATGTCTGCAAGAGGGACGTTTTAGCGTTGTCATGGGTGGGTGAAATATTGGTGAACAGAATATACAAAGATAAGGATCTGCTGCATAGCCTACGTAGACTGTTGGAGAAAATGCTGTTGGCAATCACGTATTAAAGCCGACATGGCCCAACATATCTCGGGTTTTGTGGCCATCACAATGCCCGGCTGCCTGTGTCTCCCCAGTGCTGATACACACCGCAAAAAGTCCTGGGCCTACAGGAGGCCCAGGACTGCTTCAGTGTTTCATTCAGTATTCATGTTAGCCATGGTCAGGAATTGAGCCACAGCTCCGCTATTTGTCTTGCAGTACGCACACGTCGAGGGAAAAAAGTGTCTGTATAAAGCAAGCCATATGAATGGTGCTCATGTCTGTAAGTGGCCCTGAGCCAGTGGTGGAAATTCCACAATCCCATCATGGATCAATTTCAACAGGATGACCACTACACGCACACACATCAAATTATATAATAATTATATATCTAAGTGGCTAAAAGGAATAATAATAAAAATAGTAAACTTATTATTCTTGGTTCTTTCGGTAAAGTCACATTGAAGGGAAACAATAAAATAATAAAATAAATAAATAATAAATTTCCCACGACGTTTCGCCTGCAAAACCTGATGATGACTGCTTGTGTTGCAGTCAAAACGTCGTGAGAATTTTATTGTTATATATATTTTATTATTTTATTGTTTCCCTTCAACGTGACTTTACCGAAAGAACCAAGAATATGAATCACTTATTTTTAAAATAATGAAATACCTGCTCTACATAGAGCACTGCCGTGAACATGCGTTTCTGTGTCACTGCCACTCGCCATTCCAGATCTCAAAAAAGACATCGTGACTAAAACACGTTGTAATTTATACTCTGTGCATTCCACCATTAGCATGTGACACAACCACACAGCACTGTCCGACTTGCAGTGGTACAAACCACCAGCACCTCATCGAGCTCTTCTTGAGTGATGTCACCCCCAGACGCCATCAACGTCTCTGCGTGCAATCTCCAATGAGGTGAGCCGGACTTGTGTCTCTATAAGAGAAATTGTTGGTCATTTTCCAGATGAAAAAAGTCGGGAAGATTATTCTATTATATGAGAGGAGAGCTATGCATGGTGGTTCACCGTGATATGGTTTCCTAGTTTAATTATGTATTTGTCTGAAAAGGTTTCTGCTGAAGGTAGATTCGGCTTTTCGTATGGAGCGGGACGTCATCTTGCCAAACTTCTGTCCTTGTCTGTTTAGAATGGAGCAGGATTTGCGTGAATTGGGATGTGTGCGAACACCATCTCATTTTTTGGCGAGAGCCGAGTCCTGTCGGGCGGTCTGGGCGATTGTTTTATTTTTTTATTTTTGAAGAGGGTTAGGGGCTGCCGCCACCATCTAAGAAAAGATTGGCTGCCCTGTTGAAGAAGTGTTTTGCCTCGTCATGGTGATGCGGGAGGGGGGGGGCAGAGATTGGCTGGTGCGTGAGAGTGGCCGGGCTCACTGGGCAAGAGCGCTGCCAACGTCCTGGGCCTTTTGGAATGGGGGTTCCACTGGTGGCCATTTGTAAAGTAACTCAGTGGTCCACTGTGCAGCACTATAGGCCCGTACACTGTGGCTTCCACAAATGAGGCATTTGGTTCAGGGCCGTCCTATATCCACTTGGGTTCAAAAGATTGGGTGGCGAGAGGTGGCAGTGTCGTGGATTAAAAACGGGAGTTGTTTCCTGTTCACTGCTGCTCTCGACTTCCCTTCCGCACCGCTGTGGATTGTCTGATCATCGGTGTCTTGAGGGCTGGAAGTGGATGTGCGGAGTCAAGAGTGTTGCTGGCTGTGAGCTGTCCTTCACAATTTCTGGACTATGCAAGATTATTGGCAGCCAGCGGTGACGTCACTGTTCGGCATGTGCGGGTGGTAGCACATTTGCCACTTGTTGCAGAGGTTCAAGGTTCATGGTTCGAGCCCATAGGCTGCCCTGATTGATGCTCTGGGTGTTTTAGTAAAAAGTTAAACTGCTGTCTGGCTCACAGTGGCTATTAAACCAGTGACATTTCCTATTCACAGTGGGCCATGTATTCCAGTGACGTGATCAAGCATTGCCAAATTTGAAAAAGGTACCACAAATTACTTAATTGGGTAAAAACCACATCAGCATTGTCACCTCTTGGCAAGACTGTCCAACTGTGAAACGTAGCACCTTCATGAAAGCCTTGGGCTATGAGAATAGCGCGAATACCACATGTACTCAGTTATTTTAAGATGGGCTGGATGAGATGAGTCCACCACCCTGCGTTGCTGGGAGGGGGGGGGGGAGCTCGCCTCAAGGAGGTCTTTGCCACTTGCAGTCAGGGTAAGTGGCACACACTTGTTAGCCGAGTCCAATGGTGTTCGGTTGTTGTATAATATTGCCTCTGGTGGTTGAATAGGGTGTGTGTTAAACATTTTTAGGAGTGATGAATTGTGAAATCAGGCCATGGTCATGGGTGATCATCTCATGGAATGCCTGCCAAGGTGTAATGGGTTAGCAAACTGAACTCGAAAATAAAAGGTCACTTGTTATATTTTCCAATGGAGCAGTTGAGACAATGAAGCAGATTTCATAAATTTCTTCCCGACCTGTCCACCCAACAGTATAAATGGAGGTACACCTTTAATCAGTTATAAGCACATCTGTGGTGTAGAAAAGTGTGGAAGAGTAATCCAAATACAGAATATTTATCCTGGAGAAATCTGATGAGCTATGAAGCTGTTTTTCACAGATGTCCCGTATGGGTGGGTCTCCAGTAGGGGCGAGCCTTTCTAAAGGGCTATCTTAGATTTCTCTCGTCGGGTGAGGGTCTTTCGTTAGCAGCAGCTTATACCAGCATGAGAAGGGGCTATACATTTACCTTTTACCGATTGAGTGGTGAGTGGCAGTGCCAAGTAAAATAACTTATTTTTATGCAAATCCTAAAAAAACCTCACATTCGATGGGCTTCAACATATTCATAATTTTTTTGGGCATCAGTGTGGGGGCATACTTGCAATCACTCCATGTTCATAGCGAGCATGACCATGTGTATGTATGTATGCGTGCCAAGCCAACGAGGGCCCTTCAAGTAAGGCCCCGTCTTTGTGCTGCTGATCTATGGATAGTACTCAGAATGAAACGCATGTCATTGGCGTCCACATCTCGGATGCATCTCGATAACACTTTATTAAAAGTGAAACGCTTATATTTCCAGCAATATTGCCGGGCCAGAGGCCCCTGACCTTTGGCTGACATCTTCCCAGCCACCAAGTTACTGTATTATCCTCATATATTCCTTTTGTTTTATTAAATCTTGTATATGTAGTTGAAACATGTAGACCTTATTTTCGATTGGCTTTAACCCACACTCTAGTTTTAAGGTTCCACCTTGCAAGTCTTTATTTTTTGTTGAAATTGCTCTTATTTCCTGTGATAAATGTTACAAAATGTGTTCGTATCAGCAGTTTTTGACTTGTCTTTGTAAAGCACCGTGCACCTAAAACTGTATTTCAATGATTGGTGTCGTCCAGAAATAGGAAACTCAAAATAATTGAATTTAGCAAACTAGTATGACACTTGGTTAAATTCTGGTAAGATGCAAGTTTTTGGCTTCATTCTCAAACAGCCATAATTGTTTGCATGTGATATTAAGAAAAAAATGTAAATACAGAACAGACCTGCTATGTGAAAGAAGCCCAGTAATTAGTAACATACATTGAAAATCTACCAGGAAAAATGTCCAAGCATTTCCAACAATGAAAATAACACAATAGCGTCGACAGGAAAATAAGCAATGTAGCACAAACGATGATATAATAATCATATCACGCATTAATATTTACACGTTTCATCTTCACCATAATTGGTAGCAGAGCAGGGAATTGACATTGACTTTTTTTTTATTTAAAAATGTCGAAGCATCGTTCTCAGAATTTCCCCCACATTGGTTTACAAATACGAGGAGCGGATGACATGTGATACAGTTTGTGAAGAGAAAGTGCTGCTGACATGCAAGTTGCACTCGAGGGTGCGTTGCTAAAGCAGCCGCAAAAGATCCGAGACCATCAGATGTATTCTGCACACAGAGCACTGCTCATTTTGGCTTCCACGATAGTTGAGCTATCGTCTGCGATAGCCAGGTCGCTTCTGAAATATAAGCTAATGGCTCAGTGGGCTTTATTTAACTGGGGAATGAAATATATAGTTATTTTGTGATTTGCTTACCTTTGCTATATTTTGCAGTCCTGTCATGTTTTTGTATTGTTGTAACTTTCTGATCTGACCCTACCGGACATTTATGAAAAAAGAGCTTTATAGCTCATTGGATTCCTCCGGTATAAAGATTCTGATTCTGTTTAGGCAGAGATAAGCCAGAGCCCAGTTACACCTCCACTCCTTGCACCGCTTCTCCAGCACGCAATTCACGTTGCAGGTTTCACCCTCTGCATGTTGGGTGATCTACGCGATGGGGCTTTGATGTCCGCATGAGTGGCTGCTCTGTAATACCAGTTGGCTGTGCTTTCTCTTGGTGCCAAAAAGGCTGTATGATCTCAATGTTTTTTTCTCCCATCCTTTTTAATGCTCTTCCAAATAATTTTATTTATACAAGGAGAAGTTTCCGCTCTAATGGAGGCAATGTGTTTGAGCTCCCCTCAAGAACTTTTTATTACTGTCAGTAATGAAGGAAACCTGAATATTAAGGGTGGAAAATGTTTAA